TTCTCATGCCAATCCACCAAACCCACGCACAATCAGACTCCAGTCAGACAGCCTTTGAGGTGGGAGGCTGAGTGTAGACAGCAGCCCACTCCTGCTTGGGTACATGAGATAGACGGAAGCTGGGAGGAAATGCGTGTCTGGCCCCCTCTAGCTCTTTAAGCGTTGAGAATCTAGTCCCTTAGCTGCTGGTGAACTCAGGAGGATAGAGTGGCTTTAGGCTTCGAGGACAGGACTATTCTGTCCATCAATGTTTTTAAAAAGCACGAACCCGCTAGCGCAAGAGTTCAATTATAATGCCCCACAGCCCTGTAGGGACCTTTTATTATCGCCTCCATTTGAGTCCACGTAGAGTGCTTGGAGCTAATTTGGGGCAACGGAGTAGCATTCCTGGCATACCGTAAACACCACATGAATACTTAGAAAATAAATCAGAGCTCAGGGTAAGAATACGGAAAGAAACACTGAAGAGGGGACTGGGGTTTTAGTTCAGTCGGTAAAGTGCTCCCTGAGTTCAACTCCGCAGAATCCATGTAAAATAGGCTGGGTGTGGTGGTATATGGGCTTACAATCCCAGCAAGAGATTCTGATTCAAAAAACAAGTTAGGCAGCACCTAAGGAATGACAGTTGAGGCTGTCCTTGGGCCTCTATGTGCACACGTACACACATGTACTCACACACGTGCACAGTACACACACGCACTCACACACTTGTGCACACGTACACAGACCCAGAGAAGCAGAGGTCAGAATGGCACAGACGGGTCAGACACAGGGCTGTCGGGCAGAAATTCTGCCTCTCTTTATTCAGTAGAACAGGGGACAGATTTTTTTGGACAATTTCATTGCTTCTGAGGCTTCCTTTTCCGCCCTGCTTGTCTCTGCTAGGCTCCTGTGGTCTTTGCTTCCCACTGAGCGATGAGGGAACACCAGCTGCAGGATACACAGAGCAGCTGAGACAGCTCAGAGGCTCCAGCCTGAAGGCCATGGCTCGCTGGTGGAGCTCAGAGGCTGTGAACACTAACGAGGGGACTTTCACACCAAAAGAGAGTCAGGCTCTGCTTCTCAGGAAGCCTCTTGCCAAGTATAAAAAGTCTTTTTTTTTTTATTTTAAAGATAGAAATGGCTGTCATAGCAGAATAATTTCGAAGTTGAGGCAATTCTTGGAGAACTACAAATAGCAACCAAATGTTGTCTCATTACGTGCCAGCGACGTTCAGAAAGTTGCTGAAAATTCCCAGTACTCTAGAATCTGTGGGCCTGCTTAGACTGGGGACTTTGCGTGTGTATAACCAGATATGACCTTTCCTTCATAGATTTCCCTCATGGCCTAGCCGTACCTTTTGGTCTAAACAGATAAGAACGTCTTAAAAACAAAAATGTTTCGGATGAAACAGTTGCAATAAAGTGGGATTTCATTCAGTGGAAGCAGACGATAAAATCTGACCCAACGATTTGTACATAAGCAATTATGGTTAAAGCTAGGGAAACTACCTGGTGGGAGTGAGAAGAAACGTGGAGCATGGAACAAATCCGCCTGAGGTCAGTGTGCAGAGAAAGAGAGAGCTTGAAGGTGGTGCGTCCAGCTTTTAAAGGCTGCCTAGCGCATGCGCACAGGGGAATGACGTGGCTGCGTCATACGCAGATGACGGAGCCCATGCATGTCCTCAAGGGCTCACGCAGCTGCGTCATACACAGATGATGCAACCATGCTACATGTGGGTCATGTGGGGTCCTTTAAGATTCCTGGGGCCATCAGGCACTTCTGCCTGAGGGCTTGTCTGCACATGCGTGGCCTTGGAACCCAGAAGTGTCAGCCATGTTGTGTGGCTGAATCATTACAGCTGGTACTAAAACAAAGTATTTTTTTAGCTGGTTACTGTGGGGTCCAGAACAGCTTGTCCACACGGCTTCCATAACACCTAATAAAACTCAGCTGAAAAGCACACCTGAGTTTCTCAGTTTACTGGCAGGCAGCACTGGGTTCCAGGAAAGCCATAAGCTGACGCCACCCAGGGAGGGCCAGCATCTAAGGAGACCACCCCAACCATTAGGTGAGATTGGATAAGATCACCAGAGGTCCCTAAGCCCAGCACACAGCTATTCCCCCTTTTGCCAAGATGTCTAGACAAGTGTCAGGCAATCAGGGTCCTGACCCCTGAAAGTCCCCTCACCTGCAACCTCTAATATAATAAAAAAAACCCTACCCCACCCTGGCTGGGCACTCTGTTCTCAACCAGACAGATGGACTTGTCAACGACTGTCTATGCAGTCAGACAGATGTAAGATCCATGCTCAAGCTTGAATAAAGGCTCTTTTCTTTTACATACAGGATTCAGTCTCCATGGTGGTCTTTGGAGGATCTCTGTGATCAGGGCATAAGTTACATTTTAATACTTAATTTTAATTTTTAGGGTATATCATAAATACCTAGCTGTGAGCCCTGTGAGATACAACAACATTAGCATAGTAAGACATGCCCATGAGGCAATAGCGGCATGGCTGTTGTAGGAGTAACCAGTTGTACTTTGGGATTGGTTTCAAGGCCCACGCCACAGGAGGCAACGCATGCCTGGTATAGAATATTCCTTTGCACTGTGTGATTGTATGAAGTGGACTGGCCGGTAGCTGAACAGGCTAAGGTTAGGCAGGAGAACCAAATTGAAAATGTTGGGAGGAAGAAGGGCAGAGTCTGGAGTCGTGAGCAGAAAGACACAGAGAGAAGCAAGATGGACATGCCATACTGAGAACAGGTACAGAGCCACGCAGCAGCAAAGCCATAGATAAGACATAGGGATTAATTTAAATGTAAGAGTTAGCTAGTAACAAGCCTGAGCTATTGGCCAAGCATTTGTAATTAATATTAAGCCTCAGTGGGGAGCTGCTGTGGGACAGAAACTTCCACCAACAGTCTGATACTATAAATCTGGCCAAGAAATCATGGCTGGGAGCTCATAGGCTCCATGGGAGAATTTACTGATACTATCCTGGTAAATGAACACAGTACCACATTGACTTTTACATTTGTATCTCTATACCATAGACTAGTGCAGTGCTCGGACCTTATCAGAGAAGTTTCTCTGTGCAGCAGACATCAGTTAAAGCAGAAGCTCACACACTGGTTCAAAGCCACGGACTAAATGTCTGTGGGGTCATCATTGGATATCTACATCACACTCCTTCCCCCATGAAGGGAGATGATATGGGCAGAAGCAGTAAGTTAGGAGGGGAGGATGTGGGGGCAGTTACAGAAAGGCATGGAGAGACAGATTCCTAAGGGAATAATAAAAATACTGTATTATCCTAAAAGAAAGAAAACTAATCTGCCCAATGTGGTAGGTGCATGCCTGTAATCCCAATATTTGGAAGATGGAGGCAAGAGCATCCTTGGTTACATAGGGAGTTCAAGACTAGCCTGGGCGTACTTGAGACCCTGTCTCAAGCATATATATATATATATATTTATATATAATTTTGGTAGAGCCATGACCACACGATGGAGCATGTTCCCAAATTGCATGGCTTGAGGTGAGTGGAAGCCATTTTAGAAGAATCTGCTTCTGTTTCCTTAAATTAAACAATTGAGAGTACTTGATAAAGCAAACGAGAAAACAAACATCCAGGGGTCAGAAGACTGGCATCTGCCCCCACCAGTCAGTAGAGGGTTGAGTGACCTTGAGTATGACCTTGAGCCTCAATTTCCTAGCAAAACAGGTTGATCTACAGGACCTCCCCAGTGCCTCATGGGAGCACAGCCTCTCCCACATCATCAGAGGAAGTCCTCTAAAGCTTTTACTAACGTTTTTTCTAATTAAGCCCTTCTAGAGGATGGGGTGAGCAGTTGGTGGCTCAACAGTGGCCAACCATTTTTCTTGAGCAGACTAGTAAGAGCCCTGAGAGCCCTGAAGCTGCACACACCATAGCTCTAAGCAGGTCTTAGAACTATCTACTGGGTTCCTTACCAGGCTGCTGCCCCCTCGTGGTAGGTCATAGGAACACACCTGTTTAGTCTTTGTGTACATACAGTATTTTCTTCTTTCCTCCCAATGCTCAAAATCCGGCCCCTATGCAAGTGGTCAGAACATTCTTATTTGTAGGAAAGAGGAAGATTTTTACAGTAATGGAAAGATTTGGGCTCGCTGCTATTAACCGTGCAGGAGCCGTCCAGAATAGAAGATGGTGACCTTACTTTAGGTACCAGGACTCAGAGAGCTAGAGGAAGGGGAGAGGGGATATTTATTCCAAGTCTCCCCTGGGCTGTCAGAAATCCATAGACACGAAGACACACACTGGGCTCATTTCCTGACGCCCCAGGAAAGAGCTGAAGCGACTTCCCAGTTCAGTCCCCAGGGCCAGAATATATTGACGATAATAGTTACTAATTGATCCGTCCAACATTGTGCCCAGCATATTCAGAAAGAGTCTACTATGGGGGTGTTCTCCCTGGATTCCCATAGATGAAATCTCCTCATAGAGAATTTCAGATCCCCTGATAAATGTATACTTATATAGGTGTCGCCTTCTATACAGGCCTTCTCTGATTGCCCCACATAAAGAAAACCTTATCTTATACATCGGCTTTCTTCACATGTTAGGTATTTTCTGGGGAATTTGTCTACATTCTTTCACTAGGAAGCAAACCTCCTGAGGGTGAGAGAATTCATTTGGTCCAAGGTTACATCTTCAGCATGAAGGATGACACACATTTTGGGTAGTCAGTAAAAATCAAATAAATGTAAAGTTTCATAACTATTTCCCCTGGCTGGCTGTCAAAATGGACAGCCTGACATCTAATTCCATCTGAGTCTTTTTGATACAATGAAAACGCTGCTTTCTTCTTGGGTTTCAGTAAACACTGTGCGATGTTTTTTCCATAGGGGGAAAAATGCCCTAGATAGGACTACACTTGGTGCTAGCGAATAGGACTTTTCCAAAGGAAGGCATCTTCCTGAGCTGCCTTTGAACCACAAAGGTGTTTCTGGTAGTGGTCACGGTACACTTACTGCTGGAGCAGGTGGCTTCGTTAGGGCCGGACGACATCGGCTGGGCACAGAGCTGACAAAGGCAGTCTCTCCCATTGAATGTGACTCGGTCTCCGGGTGGGAACGGGCGCCTGGAGACAGAAAGACATTTGCCCTCAAAGTCATTCCAGCGATTTCATCCCCTTTTCTTACTCCTTGCCCGCTCCCTCTCTGGTACAAATTGATTTCTTGGAGGCGCACCAGCCTGAATGTTTGAAATGTAGCCATGCCTAAGCCCGCCAGCTGGTCACAGGCCAAACAAATACACGTGCTTCATTATGAGATGAAGAGGCTCCCTGACTGGAAAGTAGCGTGAGTTAGTTCCCCTCTACAGTGTGTGTGTGTGTGTGTGGGGGGGGGGTTGGCACAAATCACCTCAGGGCCCACAGAGTAGTGACTTCCATGAGGAGATTCTTCTTTAAATACCACGATTCCCACTGAAGTTCGGGGCACATCCCTAAGAGGAATGCTTGCTGGAAAAGCAGGAACCTTTTTGTCCCCTGTGGGTTTTAGTAGCTAAACTGAGTTAGACTCTGTTCAGTGGGGACCCCAGTCTCTCATCGGCTACAGGTGATAGGCCAGGCCGCTATAAACGTGTTTGAGGATCAGCAGCCCGGAGAGATTGCTCAGTGGTTAAGAGTACTTGGCTTTGCAGACGACCCGGGTTCCTGGCATCCACACGGCCGCTCAGAGCCAACTACAACTCCAGTTTCAGGGGATCCGCTGCTCTTTTCTGACCTCCATAGGCACCAGGCATGCACACAGTAGGCCTACATTCAGGTAAAGCATCCATACACATAAAAGAAAACAAATTTAAAACTCAGCAGCAGTCTCTTTTCAAACAGACAAGTTCCTTCCCCGCTAGGCTCATCAGTAAGAGCACACAGCACACCTCCTGCAGGAACGCTGGGTCTCTGTGCAATGAGTCAGTTTACCGATCACTCTTCATCAAGTGAGCTTTCTATTGTGGGAGTTGGTCAATCAGGAAATATGGAACTCAGCAGACCAGACAACACGAATGAGCCAGGAGCTGCCAGTCTGGTGCAAAACCAAGCCTTCTGACCCTCATGCACGTTCCCAGCCCCTTAACTCATATCTCCAAGGCCTAACACTGATAATTAAATGTAATAAACACTCATGGGTACATCTGGACCTAATACCACCGATATGAATGGTGCAGTTATCAAGGGTGTGGGGGGATATTATAGTCTCAGGCTTTCGAATGTTGAAAATCCCCAGGAGGGGGCTGGAGAGATGGCTCAGTGGTTAAGAGCATTGCCTGCTCTTCCAAAGGTCCTGAGTTCAATTCCCAGCAACCACATGGTGGCTCACAACCATCTGTAATGAGGTCTGGTGCCCTCTTCTGGCCTGCAGGCATACACACAAACAGAATGTTGTATACGTAATAAGTAAATAAATAAATATTAAAAAAAAGGAAATCCCCAGGAGGTCAGTGCCCCCTCTCTGAAGTGGTACTGTCTGTTTGTCTGAAGTGGTACTGTCTGTTTGTCTGAAGTGGTACTGTCTGTTTGTCTGAAGTGGTACTGTCTGTTTGTCTGAAGTGGTACTGTCTGTTTGTCTGAAGTGGTACTGTCTGTTTGTCTGAAGTGGTACTGTCTGTTTGTCTGAAGTGGTACTGTCTGTTTGTCTGAAGTGGTACTGTCTGTTTGTCTGAAGTGGTACTGTCTGTTTGTCTGAAGTGGTACTGTCTGTTTGTCTGAAGTGGTACTGTCTGTTTGTCTGAAGTGGTACTGTCTGTTTGTCTGAAGTGGTACTGTCTGTTTGTCTGAAGTGGTACTGTCTGTTTGTCTGAAGTGGTACTGTCTGTTTGTCTGAAGTGGTACTGTCTGTTTGTCTGAAGTGGTACTGTCTGTTTGTCTGAAGTGGTACTGTCTGTTTGTCTGAAGTGGTACTGTCTGTTTGCACGGGACAGATAAAGAGAGGCCACAGGCAGGGACAGCCTTCATCAACCCGACTTAGAACTGTGTTAATAATTAAGACTATCCTCTGGTGCTACAAGTGACCTCTTGCTGCACTTCACTTACTAACCCTGAACCAGCCTCTAGTCCACTCAGTGCGGAGAGCAAGGGCCCGTAAACACAACACAACAAACGTGGGCTCTTTGGTCTCCACTCAGGGACAGGACCTGGATGAGGCAAGCAAGATTCTTGGGGCAAGAACAGGGGCTCACTGTCCACGGCTGACCCAGCTCTTGTGAGGTCCTGACAGCAAGCATGCCTTTGCGTGCAGTACCCTGGAGTCTGGCTGACCTGGCCTGTCTAGACCCCATTTCCATCCAGTGATCCTCCATGGTACCGGAGGGTCAAAGTCATCTTCTTTTTATAATGTGTGACTCCCGAAACAGAACAACAGCACACTGTCTCCCATGTCAGCTTCCTTCCCTCAGACTGGTCATTTTCATACATGTCATCATGTGTTCTACAGATGCCCAGCAATCAGCAGCCAGCACAGCTTTCCCTAAAACATCCACCAGGAGAGGCTCTTAAGGTTTCGTAGACCGTTGGTCTCTGTCACAATTTTTGTCACATCCTGCCATTGTACCTGACAGAAGTTCTAGCCCCTATGCGAACAAGTAGCCAATAAAACTGTCTTTAAAAGAAAGACCTATAGCCCTCAACTCCAGCATTTGAGAGGCAGAGGTAGGCAGATCTTGTTGAGTTCGAGGCCAGCCTGGTTTACATGGTGAGTTCCAGGACAGTCAGAGCTATATAGTGAGACGCTGTCTCAAAAAAACAAAACAAACAAAGAACACCCCGCCACACACGCACAAAAAAAAAACCTAAAAAATAATGATTTGACCCACGAGTCATTGCCAAATTACAGTAAAGATAGCATTTCATCTCCAGAAAGAGGCAGCCCTGCTACATTGGCTAGACTGATCTTGAATGCCTGGGCCATCCTCCCCTCCCCGCTCTGAGTGCTGAGACTACGGGTACATTCCTCCATACCCAGCTAGAAGAGGCCTTCTGAAGCAGGCCCACCTAATCACCAGCATTCCCCGGTGAGCATTTTCCTTCCAAGCAACTATCCCTGTCCCTTCCCCACTGTTGTCCAGGTCCTTTCGGGAACGGGGTCTAGCCACTTAACAGCTATCACATTGCTGTACAAAGGATACGGATAAAGTTTTCCAACTGTCCTGTGCTTTAACCGAGAATGAGCAGACAGCAAGGAGAGACATGTTGGGAAGGGGCTACTTTAAGACCTTGCACCACTCAGGACCAGAGGCGGCTGTCAGAAGCGTCAGCGGCCGAAGCCAGCATTTTTCTGTTGGAGGGAGCCAGAGGCTGGGGAAAGATGGCCACTTACTTGCAGATGGTACAGGCAAAGCAGTTGGGATGGTAGGTCTTGCCCAGGGCAGTGACCACCTCGCCCTCCACGAACTCCCCGCAGCTATGGCACCGGGTCCCGTACATCCTCTGGTAGTCCAGGGTGCACAGATAGTCCCCGTTCTTTATGAAGAAGCCTCCTTGGGCCAGGTCGCAGCCGCACACTGTAGAGAGACAAGTTTACAACTGGTCAGCGCCTGCCAAATTTCTGGGCAGCATTTGCCGTCTGCCAGATGCTGGTGGCTCCCTGTGCTCTCGGCAGTTTGGGGACAGGGGAGGGGACTGGCACAAAGAGCTATTTATTAGTCAGGCTCTGCTTTCTCTGCTGTCCCCCTCCCTAGGAGCTATGCAATATCTCATGCAAGTAAAATCTACTGGCTGCGTCTTTGTGGTATGTCTAAGATCCAGCAGCAATTAGTCAGTCTTTGATGGAAAGATACGCTGCCTTTGGGCTCTCGCAGATGCCAGCCAAGGTGTCCCTGGCAGCGCTATTAGGAAAGGTGCCCACAGCTTGTCCACACAGCTACCTGATTTGGGCCAAGATTATTGAGTAATAAATTCCTCCTGCAGCAACAGCGACAGCTGAAGTTTCCAGGGACTGGTTTCTCGCACTCTGGAAATACTTCCCCAAAGCAGCCAGGACTTAGAGCTGGCTCTTCACACGGCAAACAGGACGTGCGAATCATGTGTGTGTTCTTGGGGGAGTGAAAACGGGCAGGCCAGAGAGGGACGGAGAGGGGACAAGCCCAACAGAAAACTGTCACTCGTGATCTCAGAACATATAAAAGAGGATCTTTGGTGCATCTGGGTTTAGGCAACCCTTTCCAGACTGTATAGATGTGGATCACAGAATGTGGTGTAGAAAGTGGGGATGCCAGGGACCTGGGACAATCTGCACGCTCAGACAAAACCCAAGCAGGTCACAACTTGTCCACAGATAAAGCCTGGAGCAGCTCCCTGATAACGGTAATCTCCTGTCAGACGCCAGGGAAGGGACAGCTCATGCTGGGCCTCTCCAACCTTAGCCTCTGTATTCCAAGGTTAGGTGACCGCCACACAAGGAAGGGCCGCCTCAGGAAAGCATCTTCTTACAAGCAGCTAGAGCAGACCCTCAGGCCAGCAGAGGGAGAGGGGCACTAAGTTGTTCTCCTAGGGACCTGCAAGAACACAGTTAGTTCTGGCGGTTCATTAATAGTCTTAAAAGGAGTGGGGTCGTATAACTGAAGGTGGGGTTGCAAGAAGAAATTAGACACAATGAAACTTTTCTGAACATGAGGGAGAGGCAGGTGGGTCTGTGAATTCAAGGCCAGCCTGGTTTACAGAATGAGTTCCAGGACAACTAGGGCTACACAGAGTCCCCACCCCTACCCCCACCTTATGTGTGTGTGTGCATGCATATACACATACACACACATTTCTGAACATGTAAGGACCAAAAATTAATTCAAAATCAATTGTGCAGTGAGCCTGAGTCTGAGGTGCCAGTCACCCACGGTGGGTGAGAGACTTCCCTGTGACCTTGAGTCTGAACAACATATGTGCACTTTGTCCTGTGCTCGCCAGCCACGCAGGACAAACATGCTGTGGGACCCTGCTCCACTCAGTTCACAGCTACTATGTGTTAGCGATTGCAGTGTTGTTTGTTTTTACTGTACACACAATGCTTTCTGGTCTTACAGAAACAACGGTTTAGTAACGAGAGACAAAGACTTTTTCCCAATGCATGCATATAAGAATTGAATTAATATATCTTTAGATAAAGCCATTTTAGAGTGAGTGCTTGATTTTTTTTAATTCCTGATTCAGTTGCTGACTTGATTTTCACAAAGAGCAACCATTAAATGAATTTTGGCTTGACATTAGGACAGAATTCCAGTAACTTCTGAAATGCCTTTAAATGCACTTCTGCCATTTTGTACCATGCATTTATGCAGTGGGGCATTCTCGGCACCCATGATTATAAAATCAAAATATTGATGAACTCTGAGAAACACTGAAGACGCTTGTTGTCCCACAGCTCAAATATTCAGCCAATATTTAATTCTTTATGTAAAAATAAACAAGCATACTATCCTATTAGTATATAAATTCACTTTAGACTCCAATAAGTGGTAGAATGTGTAACACTTGTTTTAGAATATATTTCTTTATTATTAATTATCAGTAAATGATTTATAAACTTATTTTAAATACTTAGCTACTCAGAGTACTATAAAAATTTCATAGGCGTTAAGTGTTTTGAGTAGAAAACGGTTAAGAACCCTGATCTAATGAAGCAGTGTAGCACAGTGGGGTCATGACCTCAGTAACTCCCCCCACCCCTATCAGTAGAACTCGGAGGAGTCAGGGTGACACCGAAACCACAAACAGCTTTCCATGAGGACTCACTGGTCCTTGTTTAGACCAACTCCGTAGCTCTGGCTTCCTTCTTAAAAACTGTAACTAAGTAACCTCGGCTGATGGACAAAGACCATTTACTGGAAACCAGCCACCCTATAAATAATGCTGTGACCATCTTCTCAGAAAGGCTTTCTCCTCCAGGAACTGTCGGCATCTCTTCCTGCATCTGAGGTCCTCACACCGAGAGCTCAAGGACTAGCCTAGTCCTGACCACAGATTCTTACGGCACAGACAATCCTTGCGGAGTGGGTAGCTGGGCGCCATCACCCAACACTCAGAAAGCCCTTCAGAGATCTTATAGCTATGCACCTTCAGGATGACAGAGCACCTTATGGCCACGAGTCTCTGTCTATACTCCTTTGGATTCTTTCTTCAGGAACCTGCAGGCATGGCCTCTAACATAACACAGAGAAGAACACAGTATCATTAAGTTGAATACGGCCTCATACTTGGCAAGTTCCCACCAAGTTCCCTCCTGGGAGTCATCGGCATTCTGATGACTCCCTGATCCTTTGAAGCCTATTTCCCACAGCTGTGAGAAGTGGCAAACGATGCCCATTGCCTCTGTTCTCCTCCAGTCACCTGGGCTGGGAATAAAAGTCCCAGCTACTTCACGAGCAGACCAAGGTGACCTTCATGCTGAAACAGACCACCCAGCCCCTCTCGGAGCTAACCCTACCCCTCTAAAAGTCCTTTCTGCTTACTGCTCCCTTGGGGTCCTCTGTGTGGGCTTCTCTGTCTGGATCATGTGACTTTGTGAAACAGACACAAGCTCTCTTTAATCAAGCTCTAATATCGAGAACCTAACATAGCCTTCCAAAATGACTCTGCAACATAGTTGAGAGACAACAAACTGCCCTGTTAAGACTCGATCTGACTTTTCTCTGAAATCCAGAGCCATGCTGGCTTACCCAACAACTCTAGCATTATTTGTCATGGTTTAGATGGTGAGGCAAATGGTTTAAAGGGGCAAAAGTCTACAGCACACATACCGGGGAGTGGCAGGAAAAGTCCACGCAGCAGAACTAGAAGCTACTTAGCTTCACGGTGCCACCTAAGACTAGAATGATGGTGATGTAATTGGAGTCTTCCTTTTATCTCCTCCTCAAGGACACTAAGCACAGGGAACTCCCAGACACCATTCCCTCCTTGAGAACAGACCTCTGCCTCCTTCAACTTCGATAGTTGAGCAAAGGATTCTCAACCAGTGGTCTCTATTTAGAGCAGTGGTTCTCAACCTCCCCAACACTGTGACTCTTTATTACAGTTCCTCTTGTTGTGGTGACCCCCTCACCACCACAAAATTATTTTCATTGCTACTTTATAACTATAATTTTCCTATGGTTATGAATCATAAGGAAAATATCTGATATTCAGGATCTCTGATATGTGACCCCTGCAAGCTTTTGTAACTGAGCAGGGCACAGACAGCATGTCTTCCTAAAATGCAGCCTCTGCTAGCTTCCCTGTCCCCTGGGCTCCTCTGTGGTACTTCCACCCACAAACCCTGGCGCCCTGTCAATCTCTAGCGGCAGCCACACTCTCTCACCAGCATTTTCAAACAGCCAGGCTACTTCTCCAGTGAACATCTCTGGGATCCATTCCTCCCCTAACTTCTTGCCTTAGCATTGCCCTCCTGCATGGAAGCAATTTTATTAAAACAGTGCTTCTGTTGCCAGGAAAAGAATTTGCTGAAAACTGGCCACAGCCTGAATTCCCATCAGCAGAGCAAACAGACGAATCAATCATGGTTCGGTGAGTCAGAGGGCTGGCACTACAGTGGGTTAGACCAATCATCGCTGGTGATTTATCACCGAGAGAGAGAATGAGGATCACAGAGTGAAGAACGTTAGGAACTTAGTGCTGAGAGACCTCTACATGTGCTTTTATAAACAAGAAAGAGAGAGGAAGAGGGGGAGGGGGGAGAAGGAGGGGTAGAGGGGGAGGGGGAGAGAGAGAGCTCACAAAACGGGACTATTAAAGTTGACTGTCTCAGGAAGGTGAAGAAGAATTAACTTTTACACAGCTGCCAATCAGCGATTTTTAAAAATTCCCATTAGTTGTGAAAACATGCATGAACATCTGAGCCACCATCTTAGTCATTTTTAAGTCGACAATTCAGTGGCGCATGCGCATCCACACGGTGTGGTAGTGTACAGTTTAGGGGCTTATGTGCACCCACATGGTGTGTCAGCATATAGTTCCTGTGGCACGCATATACACACATAGGTGCTACACACATGTGGTGCACATACATACACATAGGTGTTAAATACTTATAGGTGCTATATCCCTGTGGTGTGTATACATATACATAGGTGTTACACACATGTGGTGAACATATACATACACATAGGCAAACACTCATACACATAAAGTAAAAATAAATAAATCTTAAAAAGAAATAACTACCCAAAACTCGGTCACAAAGAAAAGGGAAGAAGTCTCATTCTCCCAGTGCCAACCTGGGACGTTAACTAGCAGCTCTTAGGTCATCGCATTATCCAGGGACCAGGTGTGTGTGACAAGCTCTTTATTGCCTATTAAAGGCCCCAAATTTAGATTCCGATGCCTTTTCTGTCCAGGGCAATTCAGTCGGACTCTGCTCAGCTCCCCCAACCCCACATCCCCCGCAGCCATCGCTGACAGTCTGACAGTCTATTTGGAAGGCCGCTGAGCCTTTAGTTCTCCATGTAAGCAGCTTTACCATGCTGCAGGTCCTCACTAATGAAGAGTGCAAGTCCTTGACATACTCATCCTGAGT